GTAATTTCCTGAGGAGGAGCACACTGTTCATACACCTAAGGGACTGTTTTTTTTTTTTTTTTTTTTTGTATTAGGAATCAAACCTACGACCTTGTACTTAAGGACTACATCTTAATGGGGAAGTAGAAACAGTGAAGTCCCTGGGGAGTAGTTTCAAAATCAGTTTTGTGTTAAGTTTTAAATTGTGTAGATATGAGGACTGGCCAAATAGCTCAGCGGATTAAAGTGCAGGTGCAGAGGCTGGGGTTCCATCTCTGGGCCTGCTGTGCCAGCCCCACCCCCGGGGTGCCCTGAGAAGGCAATTGAGACGACGTGGTGGTACGCACGCAATTGGGAGACTGTAAACAGAAGAATCACTACAAGTCCGATCTAGTAGTGAGACCCTGAACACCTTGTAGACCCTTCCCTGAAATACAGGGAGAAAAAAAAAAGAAAGAAACTTAATATTAAAGTTACATTTGCACATAGATAATGAGTAATGGGGATTGTATAAAATATAGACTCCCTTCTGAGGTTAAACAAAGTTACTAAGCACAGGCAAGTATGAGGGGGTACTCCTGTCCTAACGCTGTCCCCAAGATCAGAAGAAATGTCCTGGTTACGGCCACCAGCTCCTTCCCTCCACTTACTGCAATGGAAGCAGTGGGGGGTGGGAGGGTGATGGGAGGGCAGACACACCTGTGACCCCAAGCATTTATGAGATCGAGGTAGGAGGATCACCATGAGTTCCCAGTCTGGATTACATAGTGCTCTGTTTCAAAAAGAAAGCACCCATGTGCCAGCAAACTTCATAGGTCAAATGCACACATGCACAGATTAGACACATCTTTCTTCTTGACTCTTCACTGGTGACAGACAAGATGACCGCTGGGCTCTGTACAGACCAGCGGTTCTCAGCTGCAGTGTGGTTGCCCCCCAGGAAGACATTTGGCAGCACCTGGACATTGTGGCTTGTCACTGATGAGGGGTGCTGCTGCCATCTCATACATGGAGACCAGAAACATGCCACGACATGCCACGGTGCACAGGACTGCCCAACAGAGTTATCCTGCTTGGCACATTGCCACTGCCCTGCTGGGAAGCCCTGCAGCCTGTCCTTAGCCTTCCTCTCACATAAAGCTCCCATCCCTGCCAGACCAGAACCCCATCTTGCCTCCATCAGCTGGAACTCTTCTGCCCAAATCCTTTCCCCCACTTCTGTGAGATCGGAGCACAACTGCAGTTGTCACACAGTCCTATAAGGTGCCCTGCCTTTCTCCAGTCATCCTCTGACCTCCAGGGGACAAGCCCGATAATCTGGCGCTTAGTTGGCTGTGGATGGTGGGCCTTGCTGTCTTTCCAGCTTGACTAAAGTACCAAAGAGCCCATGTTGATAGGATTTGATTTGAAATACAAAGTGCACCTGTGAGCACCTCAGACCTAACCCACCCAGGCCTGTCTGTGACAGCTTCCTGCTGCCCTGGGTGCAGTGGTAGTGGTCTCTATTCTCTCACAGCAGTTGTGTACCATGGGGTTCAGCTCCATTTAGGGAACCACTAGCTGAGTGGACCCCGAGGCCAAAGCTTAGAGGACAATTTTGCAGACGCTGTCTTTTTGCCCAAGTAGTAAGATACAGGATGAGAGCAGCACAGGCTAGAGACTGCATTTCATAGCACATGGGAAACATTGCCATTTCTGCTGCTCAGATAGGGATTGTTTGGTTTACTGATGATGATAGCATTAGTGGTGAAATCCTTCACAAACCACGTAGGACCCAGCATATGGCAGGGTCAGCCAGGGTGCTTTCCACGCTAGTTCTCCCAGCCAGCCTTTGCCACAATCCTGGAGGAGGTAGAAACAACAAAAGGAGCATTTCCTCACGGTGCTCCGTGATAGACAGCAGAGCTCCAAATCCTGGGCCATCACCTCACTGTCCTGTGTGTAGCCAGGTACCTCTGCTGATGCAGAAGATATGCTGGCTGTGACACTCGGGGAGCAGGGGAACCCCTCATCGCCTCACAAGAGAGATAGCTGTGCCAGGGCCTTTGGGGTCTGCATTTAAATCAAAGCCCAGTGTCACATCTAACCACTCTGCTATGGCAGGAACAGGGGCCTATGCAGGCTTGACCTTGACCCTCATGGCTGCTGGCTCGTTCCCTCCACCTACTGCAATAGGAAGCAGGGGGGAAGGGGACCCTGTGATCCCAAGCATCTGGGATCACCTGCTCTGCCTTCCCTCTGTCCGCTTCCCTGCAGGTCCATTACATCCTCCAAGAGGTGGTGATGGGCGGGATGGTGCTAGAAACCAACATGAATGAGATCGTAGCCCAGATGGAAGCTCAGAGCCGACTAGAGAAGTCAGAGGTGAGTCTGGGACCACATATTTGCTCTGCTGGGCAGATGGCCCAGGCAGGAGTGGAGTGGGCATCTTTGGAGGTGGCATCTGCTCACCTTTCTTCCTGTAGTCCATCAAAGCTGGATGATTTGCAGGTTATCCTTGATGGTTAAGCAGAGGGCAGAGAGCTCTGACTTGGCTGTGGCTGATGTTTGCGGTTTCTAATTACTCCTCTGAAGGTGATATACTCCCTGGAGGGACCAGGTGTCCCTGTTCCCGTTCCCCAGTGGTTTTCAAGTTTGTGTGCTTTGTGAGTCTGATGTCCAGACAGCCATTTCTTGTGGTGTCCTTTCAGCCCCCGGTTGCCAGTTTTTAAAATTCTGTTTAGGCTTGCAAAAAGCTAGTGTGGTCTCACAAGGCTGGACTTACCAAGACAAGCCCAGCCCACCCTCATGTGGTGCTAGGCTGATACAGAAGCTCTCAGGAAAGTTGGTTCCCTAAGACCTTGCAGTCCCTCAGCCATACCAGGGAGCAGTGGTGACAGACACATGCCTTCACAGGTGCAGAAGGAGCAAAACAAATTACCTCTTAACTGTCTACATGTCTTAAGAGTTTGTTTGCTCTGGGTAATGGAACCAGGTCTTGAGACTCTTCTTCTATGAGGACTGGCAGGCCCCTGAGGAAGCTTTTCCAGACTCAGCTCTCGGGCAGCTCTTGTTCCTTCAGAGAGGCGGGCTGGGAGCCTCAGGGATTAGGGGTGAGTCAGAGGCTGGGGATTTGGAACAGAGGAAAACAGACCTGCGTGAGGGTGGGACAGAGTCAGTGTACTGAAAGCAGTCAGAAAAAAATGATTTCAAGAGAGGCTGGGCACAGGCCTCTGTGTCTGTCCTGCCATGTGACATTTCCAAAGCCAGCCCTTCCGTCCTGCGTTAATCTGCAAGCAGTTGCCTTAAAGCTATGATGTTCCTTTTCCTTTTCAGAATTTCCCTGTGACGTTGCACTTGTCTACAAGATAGTCTCTTGAGGAAAGGGTTTGGTTTTGTTTGGTTTCATAACCAGAAAAGTACCTTGATACCTCTTCTGCCTTGGATAAACCACCTCAGGTTATTTCAGCATGCATATACTGGGCACCTTCCATGGGCCATGCCCCATCAGTCGCTGGGACTCTGAAGCTGTGTGACACATGACCCATGACCCAAGCCCGCCTTTGAGGAGCTTATAGTCTGATAGGAGCGCGGGCTGTGGACCACATACTGAACCCCGCTACTTTAGACATTGTTTTGTTGACTACCTTTGAGGAGCAAGGAGGAAAAATTAAAAATCGTGTACGTCTGTTTGGAGTTGTTCTCAGTCTCCTTCACCTGCTGTGTGCTTTGTTTGTAAAGCATCCGCAGAAGACCCCAAGAGCGAGTCTCCTACTCACCTCTCATTTCTCCTCAGGGCGGCCTTTCCGCAGCCCCCGCGCGGGCTGTGTCTGCGGTGAAAAACATCAATCTTCCTGAGATCCCAAGGAACATCAACATCGGTGACCTGAACATCAAAGTCCCCAACCTGTCCCAATTTGTCTGAGGCAAGGCTTGGGCTAAACTGGAATCCTTTGGGATGAGCAAAGCCAGGCAAGCTGGAATCAGAACTCATTGGTACCTTAGAAGAGTCAAGCCATGGCCGGTACTTGTGTGTGGGAGGCGTGGGCCCTCTGACAGCAGGGCCTCTGCACCACACCACCTGCACCGTGGATCGCCGCCTCCCTCAGGACTCCTCCTCCTCCTCCTCCTCCTCAGCATCCAGGCTCCTGAGGGCCAAGGGGAGGAGCCAGCCCTTAGGTGGATGTAATAGGGCAAGAGTGGGATTCATGAGGCCCACAGTCACCTGCTGTGGTCAGAATCCTTTTGTATACCCAAGCTTTTTGGTTGCCACTTTCTGTGGAGAATATTTTCCCCTTCCCCACAGGCCCAGTTCTGTTCGCTCCATGTGTGAAGGAAGTATCCACAGCGTAAGCCTGGTGCATACCACCACACAGTCACCATGCTGGGGAGGTCCTTAAGGGGAGAGAGGGACCCTGTGCCTGTAGGGTTTAAAAATACATTCTCGGGGGCCAGGGAGATAGCTCAGTAGAATAAGCACTTGCCTGGCAAGC